GGGGGGGGGGGGGGGCTTTGGGAGCGATGGCCTTTGCCTGCCCCAGTCACCGTTACGGGGGATGGAGCCCGGCTGTCCTGGGGGGGCTGAGCACCCCCTGCCATGGGAAGCAGGGAAGGAATCCCTTGGGTTGTTTTGCTTGTGCACGGCTTTTGCTTTCCCTGTTAAATTGCCCTTGTCCCAACCCATGAGTTTTCTCACTTTTGCCCCTCCGATTCTCCCCCCCATCCCACCGGGGGCAGTGAGCGAGCGGCTGGGGGGGCTCAGTTACCGGCTGGGGTTAAACCACGACAAAAGGGAACAGTACAGTAACAAGGACAAATTCTTTGCCTACCGAACCATCCCATGAAGGACAAACTCCTTTCATCGTTGGGCTTTACGGGCACACGGCCACCGCTGCCCAGTAGATGCCATTTGCCACCACCCTGGAAAGAGTTCCCTTGTTAGAGCAGGAAAAGGGGAACCCCCCTACCGGCACATTCCCTCAGACACCGGGAAGCGAGGCAGAGCTCGGTGGGGGTGGCAGGTACAGCCGCACCCCTCTGGTACCTACTGTAATGCAAAAAAGTTGGGTTTGTGGTTGAGACTGGACTTTTCCAGCTTCCAATCCAAAAATAAACGTATATTAGAAGCCAGGACCACTGCAAAACTTACTCCTCCTCCTCCAGAAATACAGAAAACTTCATTAATTTTGGCTTCAGAGAAAGATGGATTTTGTCCTGTCGTGAGGGAAATCCAGCCGTGCCAAGCCTCGCTGAACACCCAATTTTCTCTTTGGAAAGAAAGCAAAGAAAGGCTTATCGGTGTCGCAAACCAAAGGTGCCCGTAGGCCGTAGAGTCTGCACGTTGGCTGGATACCGCCACTGTGCGTGCCGGCAGCCACACACGGCAGCACAGGCCTTTCTGCGTACGTTAATGAGCTTCATTACAATTCCTAGTTTGATTGGGTTTCTACTGGCGGTAACGACAGTTTGTAGCGGCCTATAGAAAAGAACGCGATCTCCTCAAAAAAATCCATCCTACACATGACTGAAATGGCCATTTTTCTCTTCAATGTAGTTGGCAGTGCATCAAAGATGACAAGCAGAAGAAGATGAAGGTGGTCTGTACTTTCAAGAGAAAGCTGGAAACAAAAATAGAACGTTCATCTTGTTTACATCCCTGGTTTGCATACAAAACTGCAATGCCCACTCTCCCAAAGTGGTGGCCTCCCGACAGCACAGCCACTTGATCAGGGCAACCTATCGACCAAATGTCACGCTGGCCTCATCACTGTGAGTCATCTGGTCATCAAAAGGCTTTATACAGTTCAATCGCCATTCAGCATGAGGGATAAAGCCAGGAGCGTTTGTGCTTTCAAGTCTGCCGATAAGATCATAGAATCCCAGAATGGTTTGGGTTGGCAAAGCCCTTGAAGCTCCCCCAGCCCAACCGCCCCCCTACCCCTGCCATCCCACCCCCAAACCCTGGCCCTCAGCACCGCCTCTGCCCGGCTGTTAAATCCCCCCAGG